GCGAGGCTCCTCTTGTCGTTTCCTCGTCCGCGTATTACGTGACGCGGCAGACCGGTCGGACAATCACTAGGAAAGTGAAAACCGACATTGCGTCAGACATGGTTTACGTGTCCTTTATGAAAACGTGTCCCTATAGGGGAGCAGAGCCGCGCACGCGATTCTTTTTAATCAAATTATTACATTATCACAAAAGTTTTCATTTTCTTATTAGATATTACAAGTGTACAATCTATACTAATACTATAAAAAAATAAATCTTGTTTGTATGTAGAAGGTACTTTCTGGAACTACCGATCCGCTATTAAAGAATTTTTAAATAGTAGAAAGCTACGCTATTCCTTAGTAACACAGGCTGTATTTTGTTTTGATAAACACAAGGTTCGAGATCTTGATATTGGTAAATAAAGTCGCAGCAACACGATACTCGGATATATCGATTGAAACATCTGCATTACGGAAAACAAGACAGTTGGAGATTTCTGAGGCTCTCTTTGATTCGCGTCATCTGTATACCGTATGATGCACCACTGTTCTCATGGTAAAATAAATGTGTAAAGACAGCGATTTTATTTTCCTTCTGTGTGTTGTAACGTCGTGTAACAAACTGGTTTAGAAACTCGTGACGGAAGAGGAACAGCGAGACACGAAAGTACTTTTGATTCAAGGTGCAGAAGAAATGTGTCGGCGACGGAATTCGTGCCAGCGAATGAACTCGAGGCGATTGAACTCAATGTGCGGTACATTTCGTATGGCTGCAACCGAAGCTTGACATTTTATGCGAATCTGTAATTCTAAACGCGATCGAATTTTAATCGTTCGAGTGCCACGGGACGCGATCGCGCTTCTTCTGTATTGTCCTCAAAGGGCCAGCGCTCTAGGCTGCGAAGCCCATAATCACGGCAACCAATCCGCCGTGCTATAAAAAGGCGCTATTACGCTGTTTGGTACTTTTCGATCGTGAAATAAGAAATGGCACTCAATCGGTTGATATCGATGATAAAGAATACGAAGGTTCGGGAAACATATTATAGATTATCAGCGTGATCGATTATTGATAACAAAAATTCAGTGTTGCATCATCGGTGTATAAATTGGGTTTTCGACGCGAATCAAAAATGATATGCAACATCGTAACGTTACGTTTTAAAACAATCCCAGTTGCTCGAGGAAAAAATAGTACGCGACGAATCGATGCTCGCTAAACGCTGGACGTGTCAAGTTCGATGCGTTCGTCGATTTATTGAACACGAATTGACGTCGTCTGACCTTTTTAGAACAATTTTAAATTGACGATAGTTAATTTTAGTTAATATTGGATAGCTGTTGATCATCGACTAGTGACGCTGTTTTCCAGAGAATTTTTTAAAACTCGGCAATTTTTTAATTCTTGTTTTTGCTTCTTGGTAATGCTGTTTGAAAATGTTCGAGATGCAAAACATTCGAAATAAAACAATATCGTACGAATTAAATACTGACCGCCTTGCACGAATAGAGTAAAATTTTGTGCGTTACAATTGGCAATGCCAACTGATTTCATTATTTTAGAAACAACTACGTAACGATTTTTAATGCGCAGAAGTTATTTTTCGCCAAACGTCGCGCAGCATCCCAAAGCCGGATTTAACCGGTGCCATTAATCGACCCTAATCGAATCGACGTTTCCGGTGGGCGATTACATCCTCACGTATTTCATCGCGGCTGAAATTGCAAATGACACCGCCGCGAGCAGATGAACGTCGCAAAATGTCAATCAATCGTTTGCAAAAAAAAAAAAAAATTGACGCTCATCGTCAGAAAAACGAGTGATGGATATCCAACCGCTGAAAGCTACATCAAAGTGGAATATAATTTCATTCAGATGACGTTGGTCTGTCATCTGAAATTAAAAAAGTGCAAACACGATGCGTAGAGTATCCGAGAATTAAGCGATAAAACTGTGTCTATATGTTCAATGAGCAAAAGTACAAAACAAATTTACCCAGGCATTATTTGAATCTTTGTTTGCATAATATTTTCCTTTCAACTCCGTCTTGAACACGTGTACATATGCAATTCTTTGCATTTTCGTGTATATCTGAGTTCGTTTGTAAAACATCCTTACTTTAGCTGAAACTCGCGATGAATTTTACCTACTTGTTATCACCCTTTTTCAATTTATTACAATTCAATTCTTGTATACATTAGAATCATTCTGAACGTCGAGATAAAAACTAACAACCACGCTGTTCCAAAGTACGATTCGATGCAGCTAGAAACGCAATACCCTGATAACCAGCTCGAACTTGCTCCTAAACGACTTTGTCCGTGACTCGTGACGTGTTGGCCAATTTCTCCCAATCTGCACGGCGAGTAACAGTAATGACGCAATGGGTACCGGTACCGGTGTATCGTAACAAGTTACAGATACCGCCTCGACATGGGGAACGCGTTCGAGAACTCGATGATCCTCGAGGTATAGTTCTTGTCACCGTCGACGGTTGGTGGTGAAAATGTTTCCAAACAAATTAACAGGTGCGATATCACGGAACGCCGTGCCTGAGAGACCACACACATGCCTCGTTTTTCCTTAATACGACGTATTGAAATTCTATGACGCGCATTTTCTTAAGTATGAGCTCAAACCCGTGACCTGTGTTTTCCATTTCAAAGAAAGTCGTGGGAGTTTACTTGTTGAACACCTTTCGTAAACTGTGCCCTGCTCACAGAGTGGGATCGCGGTCAAAGAATTGTGGCACTTGAAATATAGGGGCTAGAAGGGGTCGAGCCAAGCGTGAAGTAACGTCGGAGGTAGTTTTTCAAATGTTCGTTGCTCGAATATTTTACAACTTTTGCAATTTTAATCATGTTGCAAATCTTGTGTACTTTTAATGTTTTTACCTAAGAATGGCCAACTGTTTTTTGCCACCGTGCTACATGTTACTTTTATTACTTTCGACTGTTGTAAGCGACGTATAATACCAAGTGTGCTGCTCTGTATTCGTCGGGTGTTCGCGATCCTTTCATAACATATTAGTGGTCATAAGCTATAATGATACAAACTTTCAATGCTGTATTTACACATTGAACGGTTGGAAACGTACTGTATTTATCTTATGGTGAATACAATAACCATTGTTACCATTATACAACAATGTTATTCGTTATTCTCGTTGATTGTCATTTGAATGAAATTTTTCCATAATTGCAAAGGTTAAATTGCACGTGATAACAAGTCGACGAAGAAAATGAAACGGAATACAGAACGAAAAACATGTGCCACGAGTAAGACAGGTAGAGAAGGACTATAAATAAAAGGAATCGGACGAGCGAATGGAAACAACTATTTATAGTCCGTACCGTGAATTTTATTATCGTATAACGAACGAACATGAGCCAATATAGAGATACGTACAATTTTATCGACATTTTTGTCAATTTTATTTTTATTCATTCGTCATGAAATGTATCACGGGGCAATTCAAGTTCAAATTTTCATTTAACCTGTAGCAGATAAATAATTGCTTATGTTTTAGTTGTTGTTCGATATGTTTATCCGAGTAAAAATTTCGCTCATCTCCGAGCCAACGTGCGTGCGATTGTGTGACACGCTGGCGAACCCGCGCGTAACGCTCGTTAGTATCGCGCACACGACGAATTACGCTACCGGCGGACCTTGGTTTTCTTTAGGTCAGTGTCTCTCAAACTTCGCCATTTTCGAATTTAAGAGGAACTCGTCGACAATAGACAACTTTTGCTAGTTTTCAAATGTAATTTAATTCTCGTTCTTTTTTTTATTTTGAACGTTTACTCTATCTTTGAAATTTGGAAGGGAACAGAACAATTGATTATTGTAACTGTGAAATATATGTTCTTAATCCGTCTGGTACTTCTACGTAACTTTAATTCTAATAACGTGAAATTGTTGTTCATTTCCGTGTAAAAAAGAAACTGAACGTCGACAGTAGCGTGTTCTTTATATCGAGCACGAGAGATTGATTGACGTAAGTATTTCAATTACCTCATGCATAATACATAATGTATAATACATAATACATAATAAATGGTATATGCAATATATAGATAATTAAGCAAATTCTTAAAAACTTGATAAGAACGGTTAAGTAAAAAGCGAATACAGAAACATTAATTTAACACAGATCCCATTTTTATTCCACGATATATTATGGTTCTTTTGACTGTAAGTGCTCATAGATTCTAGTTTGAGAAACGCTGCTTCAGGTTGTATCGTTTAACACAGCGTTTCTCAACTTTTTTGGCTCTTACCTCCCCTTTCAGTTTTATTTATTTATTTACCTACACAGCTTTTGCATAACGACTTAAAACAGATTACGGATTCGACTACACATAAAGTAAAAAATCCAAAGAAAAACAATTATCTATTTTTATGAACGAAGACGTTTACAATCGAGACAAACATAAAGGTAAAACGTACTCAAATGTTTTGGTAATATTATACGTAGTACACGTAGTATACGTAGTAGACGTGACTCCGAAACTGTGGCTTTCCATTATTACGTTTTACTTGTGGATCATATGGATCTCGTTGAGAATCACTGGTTTAACGAACATATGAGCCACCCACTGATTCCGGTCTATCACTCGATGGGATCAACTTTTTTTCTGGCGCGGTAAATCAAATTGCAAACTCGAACAATAACTGCGCGATTTCCATAAAGTGCAGACACCCATCGCACGCGCGCGAAAATCGAGAAACGGCCGTTAATAAAAGTTAAACAGAATTCCTATTATACAAGTAAAATATATACATATTATAAAATAGAGGTACATCTAACGGATAAACGATTGACGGTTTATCTGAGTAATTGTTAAAAAAACAAAATGAAATAGAAAATTCTAGAAATTGCACGTTTCATTCAGCTTTTTTTTTAAATAATATCCATTGCATAGTATTTTTCAATTCTCTAAACGTAACGAACGGTTCACGCGCGATTGCTCGCGTATAATAAAATTACGTCGTGGAAAACAAAAAAAGGACGTACCTCTCTGTTTCTACCCTTGCCGAACCGTCAGCTAGTTAACCTTCTCAGAACTGGATGCCGAATTGTACCGGCTCGTTCCCGATGATTTCGATGCTCGAAGACGCACAATGGAACAAACACCGTTCGTAAATGCGTAAATGTGATATGATTTAATGGAGGCTTCAATTAAAAATTTTTATCGGTGAGTTCACCCTTTACTCGCGAACTATAGAACGAAACGACGTGACAGCGAAACGAGACTGAGATGCCGGCACCACGCGGCCAGAGCTAAATACGATTGCCGACGAACACGAGTCGCGACGACGGCGACGAGCGCGGTTTAACGCCAGGCGGAAGCAATGGTGGCTCCCCTAAGCGGCGTCTTTTGATCCAACGACGCCGATGGCGCTCCGTAGGCAGTTGCCTACGTGATCTATACTGAAAGAATATAACCAGTCACCGTGTTCGCGACAGAGATGTGTAGAATTTTGTTTGAATAATAGATGAATCGAAACAGCTTAGAGCCATCTGTTTTTTTACTCGTTCAACATTAAAGTATCATTTCATTGCGTCGCTGAAATTTTAATTTCTGACTTGACCAGTATGGCATTCGATTCAAACTTGTTTACCTTGCGTATATTTCGTCTGATTACGACGTAGATGAATCCATTGTTCGACTACTCATCTAAGTTGACCGTGAGCGTAAAGATATTATTCTACGGTTGAACAATCTTAATGTTTATTCATACAATGTATAGTATAAGAAGTAACCTTTTTTAATCCATTAGACGGAATTTTAAGCACACACCCATGTCTTTTCTCTGTGTTAGCGAGCTCGTGACACTCGCGAAAATTTCTCTGTTTACCTTACACACGAGAACACCGCTTCCGTGAACTTTACTATGAACATTTTGTGGAAACATCTTGAATCCTTTGTCTTCCTTTTTTCTCTTTGATTGTCGGCTTCGTCATCACGCTTGTTGCTGTACATAAAAAGAAAAAGACGTATCGACGATTCCACGAAAACGGTAAACACTTTTTTGTAATGTTTCATACACTTTTTACATACCATGAAATCACGCATTCTATTAGTCATTTTTTGCTAGCGCACCATCCAATCTATTATGTGCAATCAAACTACCTGTATTAAAAACGACTTAATTCAAATGAATTCTCTTTGATTGCGATAGATCTGAGTTATCTCCAGTCGGTTATGTAGTCGGTGATCTACTATATCTCCATGGAACAGAGAAGCATAATTTTGTTCGAGTAAGAGTAGTAACAGCGAAGAAAACAGTCTTTGGAAATGATCAATCCATAGCGATTTATTTGCGATGTTTATTCACCTGGATGAAAGTTGAATTTTTAACCGACATCGAAAAGGAGAAGGTTAATCGTTTCGACATGTATATTTCTTTTACATTTTCATGTACTGTTTGAAAGAGTCTCTTTATCAAGTAATTTATATCATAATTAAAGTGCAAATATGTATTCAATGGATAACAGATACAGCATTTTGTATTTATTTATACCTTGTCGTTCAATGCTTTTATTTGGAAAAGAATTTTTTGTTTATCTCTGACATTCTTACACATTGCATAACGGAAATCCCCGAATCTCTTTGAGCAAAAACACTTTTGCAATCGTTGCATACAATATCGTATGCAACGGGATGATCGGATAGCGTACTGCGAATCAGTTATTTTCAAAGTAGACGTAATTTTAGAATCGTCAACTGATGTTACACGCTCTCGTAGAATTTGAATTTCATCACGGAACTCTAACTCGTATAGCCAATATAAAAACTATCAAAAACAAACGGATAAAACCATGAGAAGATAAGATCGAAATGCTAGATTTTTATTATTTTTTTGAATTCTTTTGTAAACCATCCTTCGAAGAGTGGACGTCAATCGTTTAACTTATTTTACGAACGGACACGCCTTGAATATACATATAAATTTATACATGACATTTCGAATGCCATGGGGAAAAACAGCATTACTGTCAATGTCGGTTCTCTGTTACTTTTCTAGAAGACACTTTGGTTGTAGTACAGCCTTATACTCTGAACCTTTCACCCTGTTTCGATATACATAATGCAGTTCTTGTATATCGGGTCACATTAATTCGTTTCCTTGAAGCGAGGAACGGATGAGGGGGTTGCACCACCTCGGATACCGGAAACAATCTTAATCCTTTACGAATTAATTCCAGTGGAACCACTAGTTCGAGAACTCTGAGCTTGTACATGAATATGCATTGTTTGTAAAGTAAAGAATAAAACCACCAAAGAAAAAAGAAATGGTGCAACTCGGCCAAGCGAATCGGCGAATTGTTAATGCACTTTGGACTCGTGTAAACATCAGTCATCGTTCTGAAGCGTTAATTCTGCTATCATACACGTCTCACACGACTCGACACTTTCATTGTGTTGTATCATTCGAACGAATTGTTTATCGCCGAACTGTCATCATCCGCGATGTTGTTGCGTATGCGACATCATACGATTTCGTATGATTTGTCAATTAACTGCTAATGACATCGATGGCCAACTGCGATTTCAATATTTGACGACAAAAAATATTAAAAAATGAGAAAATCTTTGCGATGCTTACAGGGAGTACTGACGTACGATTAACAAAGGAGCTGCGAGAGTGAGCTTTCGTAGGTAACGCGGATTCATTTCAACAGTCGCATCGATTGCATCAAATCAATCGATTTTCTGTCGACACGAAGTGGATACTATTATCGACACATCATTGTCCAAGTCTAGGGGTGTTGTATACAAACGTCGATATAACCACAGCGCTGATTTTCCCAAATAAGTGACCCTATTTCACCTCGCAATTCTGTTGCTTTTAACAATTGTCTGTAATTTCCCTAATTACATTGCATGATTATTCCACAACTATCAGAGTAAAATATAACCAATTGAAACTCTGAGAATGTTAGTTATTTGCAACTCGAAATATTAACAAAGACCTTTCGTAGAGCGCGTCCTACCATACGCATATCGATCCTCAAACTTTAAACGTGTTTTTTTCTAAACCGGTTTTTCAAAACTGTTGGGAAACTTTTCTCGGCGACTACCCGTCCATTTGAAAGGTTGAACGATAATTTTTGAGGAACTGTTCACCACTTGAACTCTGGACTTCGATTCGTTATGCGGCCTCTATTTTTTCTCCTGGGTATGTGTCATTAGGAAGGAGCTATATTGCTTGCGCAATGAATTCCAATTAAAACGGGGGTGTAGCCCTGATCACTATCCAAAAGTTAATTTCTATCGCGATGAAAGGCCTAGTCGAAAGGACTCTGTGAGTTGTTCCTCAGTCTATATTCGATCGCTGTCCAAGACGTTTCGTGATTCGTGTGGGTGTCGGCGAAGAATTCCTTTCAAGACTTTCACGAGGGACAAATAAATGTTGTTTTATATCTCACGGGTTTTTTCTTCCTAGTATTTATGTAAAATAGTGTATATTTAATGTGCGAAACTTACTTGGAAAGTACAAGTAACTAAATGGTAATTCAATGTAGGCGTCGCTCTTAAATTGAATCATAAAAAATAAAAACAAATAATACGTTCTGAGGTAAAAAATATTGATTTACACTCTTGAATATGTGACGATTGATCTGTAGTCTGAAAACACGTAGTGCGCGTCAGACAATGGTCGCAAAAAAGTAGAAGAAACGTTTTTGTAATGAAAGTCCATTGTTAAAAAAGTAGATAAACGAGATTCTCTGTTAATAGAAAAATGAGAACGGTATTTTTTATAATGACAACGTTATGCATGGCAACTAGTACTTGCATCCTACCATCGCCATTAACGTTGCAATTAATCCTGGAATTTTCTAAACGGAGGTCTTGGGATCAAATAGTGCTCTTTGAAAATTTAAATTCTCTAGGTAAGAAAATTGAGTTTTCTCTTCCCATTTATTGTTGAAATATTACAAAAAATTTCGCATTTATTACAGCAATAAATTCTTGGCGTGTGACTAGATATGATTTATTTGCGTGTTTTTGCACAGATTGTGTGTTCGCTTATACGAGACCTTTGATATCGTGTCTCGCCGAAAGAGGAATCAGCGTGTCAGTTCAGTCAGCCATCAATCCCAACATACCTGATGCTCTTATGATCCAAAAGCATCGAATTGGATCGATCGTCCTGCTGGACGGGCTGAATCTCACATCACCTGAGAATGTTCTGCACGTGGTGAGTAACGTGTATAAATAACACGTGAAATACTTTCAGAACAGCTACGAACTTTATTCGTCGAAATACTTGATTGGCTAAATAATTGATAGGCAAGCATATCGAATAATTGAGTCGTAACTTGTGGAAGTTAATTAATTTTACGATTTGCTCTTTGGCCGGTCTTGTCATTTGCAAATTATAATTCTATCGAGCAATACGTAAGCGAGTATTCGCAATTCAACTTGTACGAAATCATACATAACGTTAACAAATTGGGTGCTTGAAAATTTTCATCGGTAAATTACGAGCTGCGTTTCTTATTCATGTATATACTATGTAATGTTTAAAAATTGACAAATTAGGTTTTTTCGTGGTCGGTGGGGGTCGGAGGCGATCTTCTTCTGCGTCTTGATAGATTTGCCCCTGATGGCTAAGATAGCTATCTTATTAAATTTGTAAATATCCCGTTGTAGAAGTTGCATCGTATATTCATTACTATTATTAAATGCTCAGTACATTAAGTTCGCGTGGCTGCAGTTAGCAACACTCGATAGGAATACGTGATAAGTCGATCGAATAGCATCCGATATATGGTAGACCTCATAATGACTGGAATAATTAAGATGAAGATGATTAGGTGTATCCATACAAATCGATAACGCGGAACAATGAAATTGTTCTCTGCGAGGCTTCTTTTCCAAACAATCGTCGATGAAGGCTTGCTTGACTAAATTGCAGGCTTCTCAAAAATATCTATTCAATTATTACGTTTCCTGGTTGATGATAACCGTAAAAAACACCGACTCGACCATCGACAACGTTTTACGTCATTTGAATATTGGCATCGACAGTGACGTCATTGTCGCAACGTCTTCCCTGTCGCATGCTGCGATTCAGAAATTATCGCGGACCTACTGGAACAGGTAGCTATGATTATTACAGAGCTATAGATATTACAGAGCTTTCACTTTCACTACAACCAGGACTAATTTTGCCAGGACCTGTTTCCATCTGCGACATTATACGGACCGCTTCGAGTTTCGAGAACCTCCCCTGAAGAGGATGGACGAGAACGGATCCATTAACTTGAACTACGCCGTTATAGAGAACAGGACGGTGGTCTTCTACTTTGTCCACGTTTACAAGATCCGATATACCGACAACACGAGCCTAGTGACCAATTTCCTGGGTTCTTGGAATCCAGATTCTTGGACGCTTCAGAACCCGATCAGTGTCAAGCTCCGAAACGACTTCAACGGACTTCCGATCGTTTTTGGTGTATTGAACGGAACGATCGATGGGGAAATGGACGTCACGGATCAGGTGGAGGCGAACGATATCGCGCCGCTTCTCGATTTCGCTAAATTCGTAACGAGCAGCGTAAATGCAAGGTGAATTAGTGAAATTAATACAAGTAGTATGTTACGATTTAATGAGAATTCGAAGAAATCGTACGATACCTTCGTCCGTTTCTATAGTATTCCTATACATTTCTTCAGCATAGAGTTGGTGCCACATGAAAAACTCGGCACCTTGAACAATAAAGTTTGGAATAATCTCCTCGGTGACGTTGTCGCTGGAACTGTTGACATAGGCCTGGGATATATAACCGTGAACGAAGAACGACAGGCCGAAATGTCGTTCAGCCATCCTCTAATTCGTTACATGTGAGAATATTCAAGTTTCCAAATCGAAACGTAAAAAGAAATGTACTACCGTGCTCCATGTTTTTATATAGGAGAAATATTTATTATCACCCACTGGAAAGCGGTACCATGAGAGATATATTTCGCCAGCCTTTCAACAATTGCCTTTTAGGATGCGTCGCGGTTACGTATTTTGCGATACTGATCGCGATGGGGATGATCATTTACGCTGCAAAGACCGTTCTGCATCACGAAGATGAAAAACGGGCTGGAATAGGGGAGGCAGCCCTGTGGTGTATCAGCATAATGTGCATGCAAGGTTTAATTTTCCACGGTTATGTCGCTCGGACGATTTTATTTATTCGAATTAAATTGAAACTTAACGCAGGTTCGCCGTGGACACCGCGCAGCCCGTCAGGAAAAACGGTATTATTGTTCAGCCTAATGTTTGCTCTGGTAATGTACAACGCGTACGCTGGATTCATTACCTCTATACTATCGGTTCAAGCAAGCGGCATCAAATCTATCGCCGACCTTTTGTCGCACAATTTCAAATTGGGATACAGCATCACGGATGACGAATACATTCGAGTGAGTTCGCGGTTCCAGAAATATTTCGTTTCACGTTTGTAAATAAGAACCTAAACGTGTATCGGTTTATTATCTTGCCTTTCAAGGGCAAGTGGGACTCGTTATCCCAGGTTATCGAAAAATTATTCCAGGTTATAGAAAAGTGTTATGTAATGTATTCGTCAAAGGAAGAGATTATGACAGTAACTTTCGCTATCTCTTTGTTATTTTTAAAAATAATTGTTTATCATATTTCCTACTTACTACGATTGTAGTATTTAGAACAATTTTCCATGGTCAACGTTTATTTAAGTATTTGATTTCTGATTACCATTTTTAGAACGTGAACGACAGCAATCTTCGCGAGCTTTACATAAGAGCATTCAACAATCGCGAGTCCCGATTAGACACGACTTCCGGTCTCACGAAGGCGGTGCAAGGACAATACGGATTTTTTGTCAGCGCCACCCTTGCCCGACGCGTTCTCAGGACGACGTTAATTCAAGAGCGATGTACCTTGAAGGAACTATCCCTTCCCCAAACCTTCACGATGGTGGCACTACCGATGGCAAACTCTTGTCCCTACAAGAAAATTATTAATCTCAAGTACGTGACCGTTATTCCGAAATACGAATCCTTATAATCGCCCCGAAAAACGTATCGGATTTGAAACACTTCTCGCAGCTAGGGGCTCGAGACAATGATTCTTCTTGAAAGGCTGCGCAGTGCTTGGAAAAAGAACAGAAAACATATTTAGTATAGAAACTAATCTTTGTACGTGCTACATAATAAATGAATTACATTTTAAGGGAAATTTTCAGCATTCTGAGGATACGAGAACGAGGAGTCCTGAACAGGATAACAGAGCAAATGCTGCCAGAAATGCCGCAATGCAAATCACCGACTACCTTCCACAGCGCCAGATTAGCAGACGTTTATTCCGCCTTCTTCATTTTGATCGCGGGAGGATTGACAGCCATTTCGATCTGGATCGCCGAAAGGATCTGGAACAAGAGGCGACAAATGAAGAATACCATCGTGCGAGGAATACGTCAGAGTCACCTGATGCCCAGTTTGTCCAATCTATCTCATTTTCCGCGTTTCCATCCGTTTTCTCAGTTTCCTCATTTGCATTTGTATCCTCGTCGCGGCAAACAGCATGATCTTTGCACGAATCACGCAACGCGATTCGATTCGACGAAGAACAACGTAATGGATTCTTCCATTGTCACGCAGGATATACGACCGGGGAAATCGATACCGCCCGTCGGGGCAAAAGAGGACGATAGGGTGGAAAATTCGGGCGAGGAAATCGATCGACCCCGTTTCGAGCCGAGATTCTATAAGACAACACGGGCCAGCATCAACGGCGTAAGCTTCTCCATTCTGTCGACGAAGAAACACTGTAACACCCAGAAGGACGACAGACCTACAGACAATACGGTTTTCCCGTTTCGTCGATGAAGTTTTTTTTTTTATTTTTTTTTTTTTTTTAATAAGAAGGACCTCCGATTTGTATTTTGTCTTTTTTATTTTGGAGCTGAAACTTTAGCCTAGACAACCAGCAATTTTGAACGAATCGTGAACTAATTAACCGTGAAAATGTATTACGTCGTCGTTAAGTAAATTCTGTTACCAGCGACTAAAAAGTGACTAACATCAATCTTAGTCGTATTAAAAACTAGGTGTGGGTCTATGTACGTGTGTATAATAATCGTATGATCTGTCACAAAAAAAAAACACGGCGAACTTTGTACTCTGTTAAAACGTAACATGCACGAAGACTCTTTGTCTTGTCAATAGACGACGGTTAAAGATACACCGGAGCTTTTATGTTTAAAACAGAATGGAAGAATGTCTTTAATTAAACCAAGGAGATAAAGAATTAGTGATAACATGAAGTGCGAACGTGATTTATCCGTATAAAGTCATATGGACGCGTACTAATTTTACGATGTTTTTTTTTATCATTTTTTTATGCTGCTTATATCCCGATGAATGTCATTAAAGTAATGACCAATTACTCATTTCTGTAATTACCGCTGTTAAAAAAATACTCAACCTTGAAAATAGTAGAAATGTATATTTCCGAAATTGATATCATTTATCACAAGTTGCTTATAGTAAATTCATATGCATGAAAAAAGATAAGAAACACGAAATAAATTCTTCATAAATTTTGCAGTTTCTGTGTTGGAATAAAGGTGCACAAAATATGTAAAGAGCTATCAAATATCTCGAACGATATAAAAATTTCATTTTCCGTATGTGCCGGTGATTTTTACTTTGGCGTTGTACGTTTTGAAAGGGGACTCGTATTTATTTATGTCGTTCATGTTTCTGCAGTCTCGTAACGTTCCAACCAAGCTTCTGCGAATCACCGAAATTAGAACAAAGTGTCGAAGAACATATCTCGATTCTCTTCCTACCTACACATGACGTTCGACAGGTTGGGAAACTTTTCGTCGTCCTCGCACCATTCCTGCCATTGCTCGAAAAGTTGCACCTCGCCGATCTCGCCGAGATAATAGTGGCATAGGTCTCTCAATCTGAAGAGATATCAAACTTAATAAGAGGAAAATGCGAAATGCGTATCGGTAGCTATCGCCATCGTACTGACTTCTTTCCCCAAAGTCCATCCGCGGATGTGGCCACCAAAATGGAACCAGGTAACCTATCAGAGATGAACCTTATTCCATCGACTTCTCGAAGACTGTAACTGTGAAGATATGCCAGTATTAGAATGAACTGAAGCTTAAACGGTGTTTCGGCTTACTATTCGAAGGAGTTGTTGCAAATGGTTCGTAAAAGAAGTTCGATTTCCGTATCGTTGTAACACGCGCCCGGCGTCATCATCTCGTAAACGTCCAAGAGGGTTTGGTTAATCTGAGATAAAATTGAACAGTAGTTGCATAACTTTACATTCATTTTGTAAATCGTTTTAGTCTGATGTAACGAATATAAGATAAATAAATCCTTGCGTGCCTCTGTTAGCTGTAATCTTTCGTTACTGCGCATAACATGTATTTCGTTACATAATCAAATATTTTCTGACCCGATGTTTATTATTTTTATCGCTATTCGAGAAGTAAAATGTACCAGATACAATGCTGTTTAGAAAAAATTGAAATTTTCACAAGGAACATTTCAACAACCTTGTCAGCAATGGCGAGACACATTCCGCATCTAATATAAGCAGATGAGAAGTTAATTTCTATGGCATCGCACGAGGAACAGGCACGCAAATACGGAATCTTCTGCACTATGCCAAATTCAGTGGTGTCACAGTCGTAATAATGATCTATTGCGTTTTGATCAGCGAAAGGATTTTGAACAATTGATTCGCTTAAAATCTGCTCGCTTCCTTTGCGACAGCTCGATGATCTCCTTCTACCAAAACTTGTCCCATTTGATATTAAAATTAAAAGAAGCAGTATCACGAAAAAGATTTTCACCATCATTCTTCCTTTCAAAATGGTCTCCATCCTGATGAAAGTTTTGCAAGCTTTTAGATACTTCTTTTGAATCAAACTTCATTAATACGTACCTAATAAAAACACTAATATCTGTAATAGGTTGTTATTTCAATCTTTACACAAACATATTAAAAACAGTTTGAAACAGAAGACAAATTTTGAAGCTCTTGACCTACACATTGTGATGATAAGAAATACTTATACAAGGTTCCCTCTGTTGCTGATAGGTGGCACCCGCTTACACCGATATACTGTTTACTGTATCTGCTACGAGATATTAGGGGAATTACATGCTTATTCGTGGGTTTTTAAGGTTAGAAAGTGGAATACACGCAATAAATTAGAAACATGGTAAGGTTTAGTTTATCTATACTCGATTTGGACTGTGAAGTGCTTCCTTGTTCTCACGCTAAATTGTAGTAGCTTAACAATACTTCTTTTTTTCAGTCTGCTGCAATGAGAAAGGAGTACTTGAAGGCGAAAAAGATTGTGCATCCAAATAGCAGGAAGTCTATTGCTATTGCAAAAAGAGCGAAAAAGTAAATTATATTACTGTTGAATTATACGAATGTTTTATATCTAACAAGTACTTCTAAGTTTTCAGAGAAGATATAAGAAATGCATTTGGTTTCAGAATATCGAACAGACAGAAAACAAAAATGGGTAATATGATTAAGCAGAACTTAATAGGCGAGAAAATGTTATGGATCCAAGAACACATGGTACAGGATGCGTGTCCTTATACTCCAGAACTTACTGCTCGATTATTAGAGACGTAGGTAAACAAGGAATCGGTTTCTGAGTTACAAGTATTTGAAATTCTGTATCTAATTTATAGATACATATCAAGAAACGACGAAGAGTTGGAACAAATCAACATAAAACATTCTGTAGGTGGTAAAAGGAGTAGACAACATGCCAGCAGGGAAGATGTTATAAGGATGACCAAGGAACGTGAGCAAGAAGAGTACGATACATGTGGAATTGGTGAGCAATTAAAAATGGTTACAGTGTGCCTATCCATTTCCAATTTTTCCTGTGTTTCAGAAATTCCGGATATTCTAAATGCGTCTCAGTGCGAGATGTTACGAAAATGGAATGGCGAACTAAAGTACATGACTAATTTTAAATTCAGAAGGTTTGGCAAGAAACATTTAAACGATGCTTTACAGAAAGCAATCAAACACTCGAAAGAAATTCCCGAAAAATTAGGAAATCACGCGGAAGAAATTACGTTCGAAAATGTCGAAAATACTTTGTTATAACGAACGAAATCTTCTATATAATAAATTTACTATATACTTTTATTTCTACCTTATCTTTCAAACTACCTCTCCAAGGCAGCCATTATTTTTTTTAGGAGCGAAAGTGAATTTCTCCGTTGTTTTCGCTTGCATAATTCGATGTTTGCATTAAATGCACCGTTCTCGTCTCCAGCAGGGAACAAAGGTGTCGCGAAGAAAGAAATCACGATAGAAAAAAGTTCGATTGCGAAATACTCAACGAAACTGGAACATGTGAATGAGTCGTGTGCAGGCCGCAAATCCTCCGAACTCCATTCTTGTATTTCCTGGATCTCCCTTTGTTTCATTTCACTTGCTGTTTCCTATTACACAAATACACAGAGAAATTACTTCTTTAACCATTTTCGTAAATTGGTACTCTTCAAATCATGCGGCGCCATATTTGAAATGGAATTCAATTGAAGTAACCGAGGAATAAAATGGCTCATAACGAAATGCAAATTGACAGAAGATTTATCGACTTCTGTTTTCCTTTATTTTTCGGGTAGGTGGAATAATATACTACGGATTTTTAGCGCAGTTGGAGTTATAGGATACTTCTCTGGAAGAGCATGGATCATTCTAGTGGAGAAAAGCAGAGAGGAGGGCGGTGATCACGTGAATAAGAGTGAAAGTTGGCGAGGCTTTTGCTTTGCTAAATTATCGGTGTACTCTGCCTCCATATAATAAGCCGATAACCTTCGATTTACTCACGACTTTTAGCCTACCTATCGTGGATAGTACGAGATATACATACACTGCTTCGAATGCAATTGATTTGATAATTTCCTCTATACAAGAACGTAAATAGAAACCATACCGCGCTTTACGAGCAAAGCAAGAAAAGTAGAAAGGAAAGCTACTATGATTGTTCTCGTGAAATGGAGTAACTGTTACGCATAATCGTATCGGGATTATGCAAGTTCCGATAGCTGGCGGATGGTAAACGGTAAACGTTTCACATCGGTCAACGTAATATTGGTTGATGCAGCCGATGATGCATAGCAACAGACAACGGTAGATTGTCTAGCGCGGTAGATTGGTAGCGCTTCGACTTCGCTTTGGACTATTCCGCAGATGTCATCGACACGGGAACTCGCGATGCCATTTTTACGCTCGCTTGAGCTTTACGAGTCCTCGACGTCCTTGCGTTCTGCCGACTCAATTATACACGACGCTAACCTACCGCGTCGTTTAGACGGAATTAGAAAGTCAGTCGTTCAGCCGCGGCCTTTTCAAGTTTGTCTCCAGAATTTTCTAGCGTACACCTCGGAAACGTTATGCGGAAGAGCGTTCGAGGATGATGCGCTGTGCTCTGATAGTTGGCAGTGTAAAGAATCAAGACGTACAGTACACTAAGCGGTTCCTGAGATAATTAAGTGTGGTATCGCACGACCGCTTAGGTTTCGAAGTTGTATATAAGGGAGCTTTAAAAAGTATCGAGAAATGTCCATTTAACCTTTTGCACTCGAGAGGTGACTCTCATTCACCATTAGGTTTCATGGAGCAAATCTACAATACCCAAAGTTTTTAGGTTTAATTTCTTTGGAGCTCGACGTATCAATAAAATGATTGTCGGTGAGGTAAAGGTGATCTTGTTCTAAAATCTCGATAGCTTAGAACTCGTAGCAATGGAATGTTAAGAAACATCTCGAGTTGCTGATAGATACCAGAAAAAAAGGCCTCGAGTGGAAAGGGTTTCTTTAAAAAATAGTTGATTCTATACGTGCACTTTCTGGGCGCCCGTGCGGCTAAATGTTAAGACAACCGTCTTGGCGCTGTTTTCACCGCGACGTCAGCCGTTCAATTTCGCGGTCCACGAGCGTGACGCGTCTGTCCGTCGGAGATGTAAAAAGAGGAGAAGAAAAAGAGAGACGAAGGGAGGGAGTAATTTCTCCGGTGGAATGTTCGGCGACGGAATTCGAGAATCACTCGCTAAACGAGTCAACCAACATCGGCACGAATACTTTAAGAGACTGGGGGCTCCATCGAGCCAGAGGCCGCCGAGAGAAGACTACGTTCGTGAATGTAGGTCCTCGGGTCGCCACCTATAATGCGAACCTCCCACCTTGCGAGTCGTCCCACTAATCGTACAGGTTTCTTCAACAACCGAGCCCTCCGTTTCTTGGCCGAGTTCGGGGCAACAGGTGGACCGCCATATTTGGAAACGTTCGACGAGGTTCGGTTTGGCAACTCGCTCGAGACTTCTGCCTCTACGGGGATGTCACCTAGTTCGGCAAACGCTGTTAACTACTATTTACCTTGGAATCGAGGAAGGGCTTTGGAACAGAGTTGGATAAAACTTGGAGGAAAATTCTGGAACGCTAGTTTAGATTCTACCTGTACATTATTATGTACATTACCTACCTTTACTCGTGGGTACTAGAATGCCGATAGGCGCCAAGGTAAATATCTGTAGTGGTAAATACAATTAGGGATTTATGTTTGTGGACAGGTCTGGAAAGGAAACCAACACCTACTTTTACCTTGTCTAATTCGCGAATCGATTTTGCCTAATGTATCCTGCAGGGCATATTTCAATTTAATATTTTCTTCTTTCAACCGTGGGTCGCCGTTTCGAGGTGACGATTTTGCATAAATTTCTTTTAATCTCGGTGGAAAGTAAATGGAAGATCGCGGCTGATCCGTTATTTTTGAAAGGAATTTTTAACAGATTCTCGAAGAGTAGAGAGTTTCGAGGACTTCTATGTTCCCTTGACTCTCCCACGGACTTTCTATCGGTCACCGAAGACATTTCTAAAAACAACGCCCGGTTTTTCTAGCAATGTTTCTGAAAGAATATTTCTCCTTGCCCTAACGGTTGCACTTGGTCGTGTCGTTGCTAAGAACGGTCGAGCGGAGTTATAAATTGAGTAATCGATAAACGAGCAGGTAGGTTGACAGGTGAATTAACGCAAATGTAACAGCTGTGGCGACGTCGTGCGTCGCTGTTCGCGGCAGCTAAAGTTCGATGTAACGGGTGAACTAATGGTACAGTTTGAAAAGGGCGATCGATCAGAAGATGAGCCCGCGATGAAGGCTGCTCGCACTTGATAATAATTGAAGGACTCTCTTTGCGAATGTTTTGCTCAAAGAATAACTGTAGCATGTTGTTAGAAGCTGGTCAGAATCTTGTTGTTTGGAGTGGGAGTCTTCCAGATACTACCTCAGAGTAGTATACGGTACCAAATTTCACAGTCAAGATTTCGACTACTCGTCATCCTCGTGAAAGACGTAGTACAAAAATGAGACGAAGTAAATTTGAGCGATCTAGAAATACAAATAGCGAAAGTGTTACGATTGACCCCAATCTCCTCTACGTCTCGCATTCCACACAAGACGAGCCACGTTCAAAATCAAAAGTTTCGATTCCCCGAATTTTCTAATTATTACTGCTTCTTATTCCTGTCTGCCCTCTCCCAGCCAGCAAGTTCGACCCCACCAGCCCCGAAGCAATAGGATACGATAGCAGCCAAGGCCGTGTTGTCCGCAGTAATTTCGCGCGCGCAATTACAATGACAATAAACAGCCACCCGAGGAAAGAGTGCCGCGCCACGCAGAGTCCTGCTCGCCACGAGGAAGAAGCTGGAAAAGGAGCCTAGAGTGAGATAGAGGGGGGGTACGTAGTGAGAGGGGGCAAAGAAACGATAGAAGAGGGGCCTCACCGGCTCGCCTCTGGCCTCTCTCTCGATACACCTTTCTCTGGTTCCCAACACCCGGCGGGCCTTGCTTCCCCTTCAGTCCTCACCGGGACACAGACAAAGTTACGCACCCGGAGAAAGGTCAATCGGTCGGTTGCTC